AATTAAGCTGCTTCTCAGCAGGACTTTCCTGACATTTTCTCATTTGCAAACACTTCAGTAAATGGAGTTTGCAGAAAGGTTGTCCAAACTCTGGTCCCGGGGGCATTTGGAGCACTTCCAATGATTCTGAAAGGACCTTGGCCTGAATTCAGGATGATCCAGTTGGACCTACAGCCTGGAGGCCGTTTATTTAGGTCTGGGGTTATTTAGACTGTCATAACAGAAAAAATGGTAGAGTTAATTTTTCAGTCATATTTACATTATGCTATTGCTAGCAAGAAATGTTTTGGATCTAAATATTGAGTTTGCAAGTTAATATATTTTAATCTAAATTTTTAATTAGCTAATGAAGCTTGAAGTTAGAAGCTAACCATTTAGTTAGCCAGCTAATATTAGCCTGGCCGTTACCTTCCTCTGCAATTCTCACCTCCAGCACAGATTAGATAGATTTTCTGCGCTGCAGTAGTCTGTCTGTAGATTAGCGATGGCAGTGGAGGAAATGAACGTTCAGTCTGTGTTAGCTACGCTTCCAAATACTGAAGTAACATTAACAGAAGCCTCGTTGGGATCAGTATTTCTCTCTTCACAGTTTCTGATAAGCTTCATAGCATCAAACTGGTGTATTTACAGAGGTCACAGAAAAACGGAGCAACTGGGTAAAATGTAAAACATAGACAGGCCACGCCTCCAGGAAGCAATCGTTGCTCAACAGCGGAGAGTCCAGACCCTCTGGAAGCAAAGCGTCGTACAACAGCCTGTTTTTACCAGGCTAAGCTAACTGGAGTTAAATATTTTTGTTAGAAATCAATCGCTAATCAGATATTTAGTTTGAAACTGTGCCACTTCTAAATGTGACTGAAAAATGAACCTCGGAGTTGCCAGGCGAAGTGCCGCCAATTTTGACCTAATCATGAGGTTTTTGAAATGACTCGTTTTCTAGGCACCAAAAAACATGAACTTAATGCAAGAAAACAGCTGGACGGGTTTTTTAGCACTCAGATTGTTTCAGTAGAAACCAAAATGGAAATACCAGAATATGTAAAAATGAAATTTTCAAAATAGATTTAAAAACAGTAGAGCTGGAGCAGAGCCGGGCCTCTGTGTACCGCATCGTACCCGTCACATTCTGCATAAACCGAAAGGCTTGAAATGATTTAACATCTCAGTTTTTTATATTACTCAGTCCACAAAAAGTTGTTTTAATATCAGAGACAAGGAAATATTAATTATTAGTCACCTATCAATTTCTCAGAGCCTCAGTTTTATCGGTTTTTACAGATCTTACATTTTTCTCCTCCCTAAAGGGACAGTTCAGGTTTTTTAAAGGTCTTTTTAAAGAACCATCTATTAGGCCTTTTAATGGTTTATTTCATGTTTAATTGAAGTTAGAGTCAACAGGAAACGGCCTGAACTGGGTGAGAAGTCCTTCCAGGTCCGAGGCAACATGGACACAGCATTATTACCCATAATTCATCAGTCCTGTGCAATAACCCAATAGTTAATACCTCATCTACAAACTGAAACCCTGTAATTATCCTCAGAAATACTTTGTTGTCTAAAAACAAACCTTGAAAATTAATCAGTTTGCAAACTTTGACTGTTTTGTGTTGAATGAAACAGATAAAAAATGTCTGCATGGCAGAGAAATGGATTTTCATCTCCGCTTTAATCACCAGATTATTTCCACTCCACTGCTTCCTGTTACATCAGTGATGCTAAAACTACAATCACACAAAAATTGCTGCAAGCTAAACATTGCTTTGTTTTCTGTGTTTCCATCTGCTGTGTTTTCACTACGTTTCTAACTGTCTGTGGTGTTTTCCAGCAGAGCTGCTCTGATTCTTCCTCCTCCTCCTCCTCCCTCTGCGGCGCTCGGCTGAACTCTGCCTGAACCTTCGCCTGAACCCTGCATGAACTTTCCTTAACTGACCCATTTAATCTACGCTGAGCGTAAAGCGGACGGCGTAGAGAGGAAAAGAAACGGGAGAAACAGCGATCCACGAGCAAATCCTCTGGCATGATCAGAGTCAGCATCGCAGAAACACCTGCTAATCACCAAACACGTGTGTGACGGCCGCCAAGCGAAAGCAGCTTACATAAGAGCTGAAGAAGGAAGGCGGGAAGCTGGAGGGAGCGGGAACAACCGCAACCAACACAAAGTTTTTATTTCAACAAGTGAGGAGGCATCAGGTCTGCTGGTCCGTCAGAAAAGGTCTGATGTTCCCTGAAGCTCTGAAAGTGGAGCGTGAGGCTTCAGGAGCTCCAACCAAACATCCCCGTTTGAAACGATGAACTCCAGCACACTGTAAAAACACAACCTTAAATTTGGTCCAGTTTCTAGTGCAGATATATTAGTTCACTTCAAATAAGACAAAACTGACTTACAAGTAACTTTTCAGTAAGATGAAGACGCTTGTTTTAAGTTAATAATTCCTTGAATTTCATAAAGAACTACTAGTTACAAGTGAATTAACTTTTATTGCTGATAAACTGAAGAGGTTGTTCAGGGTTCCATTTTATGTTTCTGTGCATATTTTAGCAGTTTTGTGTAAATTTTCTTAATTCTGCAGCAGAAACTCAACCAGAAGTAGCTGGATCGCAGAGCCTTGCTAATGACCTAATTATTCTTTTCAGGTGTGGTGCAGCAGAGGCACATCTAAAAGTTGCAGGACAGAGGCCCTTGAGGACTGGAGTTTGACACCCCTGTCACTAGAGGACCCAAACTTGGGTCCTCTAGTGGCAGACAGGATAAGAAACTCCGCCTCCAGGAAGTCATCCCAACATGGCTCCTCTATTAACCCTTTAACAACATTTTTACCAGTGTTGCTCTGAGCTCAGCAGGTCCACCAGCTGTTTGCTAATTGCTGCTGGCTAGTCTGAAGGAGCTGAGTGGGGGAGGAGCTGCACATTGAAGGCGGAGCTAAATCCATCCAGGCGCTTTGCTCAGCTAAGTGGAGCATAAATGATTTCTCAAATGTGCATGAAAGAATCAAAGCAACAGTCCAGGTTTGTTTTTTATAACATGATGAAAAGCTAAAAGAGTTGATTTTACATGACACCGGCCCTTTAAGGAATCCATCTCCGAATCAAAATCTGACGTTTCCAAAGGTCTGTTTGTGTTGTTGAGAGGCAGAAGGAGGTCTGGCCACCTGCTGATAAATCTATATGATCCTATTAGCGGTGATTATCTGAGAGGAGGCTAAACGATGCTGCATGTCTGATGACGATGCTGAACAGGAAGTCCTGACGCTTCCTGATCCAGACGTCCAAACTGGACATCTCTGATCATCACACCAGAACTCTAATTTATTCCACTTTCTGTTATTCCTCCCATATTTTCCCTTATTACGATGCTTGATGTTTGAAAACACCATAAATTATTCAACCTGGGGCTTTAAGTCACGGCTGAGCAGGCAGCAGCTGTGAAGTGAGCAGCGCTGTGCTGATGTGGGTCACTGTGTGAGCATCCTCAACCCAGCAGGGGGTTCTGGGTGGGGGGAACCCGGGTTGGATCCAGTAAATGTTTGGATCTGTGACAGACATGTTTGGAAACATGGCGGCGTGTTTGTGCCGCCGCCTCGCCTCCATCAGGGGGCTGCCAGTGTGATGTGGCGGCGAGCATCCAGAGTGTGTTCAGGGGGGTTTCTAGTCCAACACCCGGAGTATTAATAGCCGTAAACTCCAGCTGACCCCGGCAGCCGCCGGCGACTCAGGCTGATGCAGTCTGCCGTCCCTCGATGTGACGGCTCTGCCTGTAATCGTATCGCCAACATGGAGGACAAGGACGCATCACACGGTCCGACCCAGTCCAAACAGGGCGGGAAGGAAGTCCTGAAACAGTCCTTCAGACCGGCCCTGTCGCTCTCTGTTTGACGGACGGCTGCAGCTACCAGAAGCCGGGTTCAAAGGTCAAACAGGGCATCCCGAAGAGCGGGACGGCGGTCCCGTCTCGAACCGCGCGGCCGCGGAAACGTCGATGACAGAGGTCAAAGCGGAGACGCGGCTCGGGCCTCGGAGACGTCCCTCATGCAGAAGACTGGCTGTCATGTCGCATCACCGCCGAACAAACGTCTCCCAGGTTCTGACACAGATTTACTGGTTCAAATCGTAATAAAACACTCGATCCGTCAACCGAGAGCGGAGGAACTTCATCTGCTTCAGAACCCGATCAGAACCCGATCAGGATCAGTTCTTACAGTAAAACACTGACAGGGTTTATTCTGCTAAGTCTGGTGATCGGAGGTTTTATTAACCTGGAAATATCAGAATGAACAGAAATAATCAGTCATTGATCTTTGATCTAAATCTGCTGCTGGGCCTCATTTAAAACACTTCACTGGTTTCCAACATCTCAGTTCAAACAAAACTTTCTACAACCAACTTCATCAAATTCAAGAACCATTTAGCTTCTGCTGAATATATAATCAATAAACAGCTTTAATACAATAAACACTGAACTCCATCTTGGCTGAACCACATCAGTAGAGATGGAGATAATGTTGGTAAATGTTTGGTGGTATCTTTGTTTCCGCTCTTCCTCTGTGACCTTCATCATCGTCGTCTCTTTCTGCTGTGAACATCTGCTGCCATGAAACCGTCGACATGCTGGAACGTTACATAAAGTTAGGAAACATCAGCCGATAATTACTGCTCTCTAAACGCTCCTGTGTGATACTGCAGCTCCAGCATCACCATTACTGAGTCGTTACTGTATCATGTCCACTAAACCAGACAGGAGGAGCAGGAAACGTTCACTAAACGATTGTAGCGCCTTTATTTATAATAAAATATGGCTTAGAATAAATATGAATCACATTTTTACCTGAAAAAAACTCAGAATTTCACGTCACCAACCAAAGTCCGGTTTGGTTGGTGACGTGTGAATGCTAACCAGACTCTGGTCCTCCAAACTGGTCCCAGTTTGGTGTGGTTCAAATTCATATGGGAACGCCAAGCGGACCAGAGACTGCTCCAAAAGCAGGAAGTGGACTACAGCACAGGGCATTCTGGGTAAATACAACCATAGCTAACGTGTTAGCTTAGCGCTAGCAGTAGAAATGGCTCCTGGTCTTTAGCCTAAAGAGAAATCCTCCAACCGCTAAAATCTGACGCCTCCATCTTGTTTCCATCTGGTGAAGAAGGAAGTTGCTCTCAGTGTCTTCAGAGGTTTTTGTGTCGTTTCCCTCAGTGGTTCTTGGTGCAGCGCCCCCACAGGCCAGGAGGGGAACAGGTTGGTTTGACTCAGAACCACAGCAGCTGGAGGTGGAGCAGATGTTCTGGTTCCAGTGGAACCGGGTCGACCGGATCATCAGGAGGGAAACAGACTAAATGAAAAAGTTTGTGAATATTTCCCATCATGGAGTGAGAAAGCTGGTCGTCCTGAGAGCAAACCTCCAGTTCATATTCGGTTCGTTTCAGGTTATAGAAACACGAAGGGGACAATTAGCCGCTCACATTAGCGTGACGGTGAAGGAATGGACAAGAGCGGCGGTTCTGTTCCTGCATGAGATCGCTCAGAACCGGGTCAAAGCGTTTCCTCTGAGCACAAAGGCAGTCAGGGTGAGCTAAGGTAAAGCAAATTAATTGGTTCTGGTTGCCTCGTGACGTTCCCGAGTGAAAATCTGGTTCCTGGCACGAAGCCTCGCTTCTGTTTACTGGGGCTTTAAACCGTCACCTGCTGGGCTCCTGCTCCAACAGAACCGGATCAGAATCAAGGTGCCATCAACAGAGAAGCTTAATGGGATTCAGACTCCTGGAGGAAAACAAAAGTTTCTCCAGAGGTTTGGTGACTGGAGCGGTTCTGCTGGCTCGGTTCTGCTGGAACGGTCCAGGTCTCGGAGATGTCTGACGGGTGAACCAGGAGTCAGCCAAGGCCTGGTTCTGTGGGAGCGGACCCGTGATGATCTAATTCCTGAAAGCTGCTCCTGTTTTGGCAACACAGTTTTAATCTCAGCAGGGGTCCGATGGAGCGGGACGCACATCAACCATCCAACGCAAAGACGGAGGAAGATTAATGAAGTTTGGAAACACAACAAAACAAACAGGAAACATTTAATTACAGAGGCAAAATAAAAAGTAATAATTTTACAGAAAATCACTTCACTGAATATTAGGTTACATCATTCTTAAGATTAATAACATAACTGATATATTAGCCAATATTTACCACTCTGGATCGGAGCAGTTTGTCCATAAATGAGGAACAATAAAGTATATTCTGATTCATTTGTGGTTTTTTTATTATTCATAAGTAACGTCTGATGTTCACTGGTTCATTTTTATTTATTATTTCCTCACTGGTTCATTCACCATGTGTTTAAATACATGTTTACTCAGCAGTTAAAGGACACCAGAGGGAAAAACGTGAATATTTTCACGATCATAAGTTTCTTTTCTAAACTCCCATGAAGTTTTTCTTCTTGTACCTGGAAACATTTCACAACGTAGCCAGAGATTAGACTCATTATTAAACGTTTGCGCTCCAAAGCCAACAGTTTAATCCAAACTTTTTACTACAGAGGGCAAAACGGGTCAAATCAAAAGAACATGAGGGGGAAAATGATTTTACCTGCTAAATAATAAACTAAACATGCAACAATTTAAACACAGGAAAGAGGTCAGATTTATTGGATCTATGAATTATTATTATTATTATTATTATTATTATTATTATTATTATTATTATTATTATTATTATTATTAGAACTTTGCAGGTTTGCCTTTTCAAACGAACATTTTTAGGCTTCAATTGGAATAAAGACTAAAATCAGGATTTAGGTCAGTATTTCCTGGAAAACACTCACTGTATTTAGTCAAGATTAATAAATGAATTCAAAGCAGATTTTGGGTTTAGTAAAGTGAACTTTGGAGTAAAAGTCACTGACATCCTGGCAAAAGAACGAGAAAAACTTTAAAGCTGTTAAAAGACAAAGAATTGATTTTCTATTGAAAGAAGATTTTACTTTGTGATAATTTTATCCTGATTAAAAATAGAAAGTCTAAATCAAACACCTCTGAGTTTATATCAGTCCTGATTCGAGGTCAGGGGCCACAAATGGCCCCCGGACCGCGCCTTGGACACCCTGACAGACTCAGACGCTTCTGTTCTGGTCTGCAGATCTTTAAACGTCTGACTCCGTTGATCAGAGCTGAGGGGAAACTGAGGCTACAGCCTCTGACTGGCTGACATGCAGTTTGGTGATGGTTGAACTGGTGTTGCTGGTTTGGAGGTGCAGCCGGCTCCATGTTGCACCAACAGCTGCTGTGTTGTGGGTTGCCGCTTCTCGCTGTGTTTCTGTTTTCTGCAGCTTATCCGGGATTATTCGCTGATCCAAAGTGAGCCTGGCTGGGCTCAGAAACAAGGTGGGCGACTTTCAGGCGGCACCAGGAAAACGGTTCGGCCCGGTCCGCCGTCAGGCTGCAGCTCCGCAGACGCCTGGCTGGTTCCCAGTCTAAGTGGTTGGGACCAAACTGGGACCAAACTGGGATGAATCTCCATCTGGCTGCAGGTCGGTCTGTTGTACAGAACCTGCATCTGTTGGCGCCGCATGGGGCCGTCGAACGCAGCTCACAATGTTTACTGTAAACGCAGCGCTGACATTCAGGGGTCAAAGGTCAAACACAGAGCCCACACTGAACAGCATCAGAATTTAACGGGTGAGAAGGTCCAGCAGGGCCAGCTGGACCTTCAGAACCAATGTCAGACTGGAAGAAGTTCAGAACCAGAGGAAAGTCCAGGAAGCCAGAGAAGATCTGAGTGGAAGAACTTTGGAGACTTTTATAGAAAGTCTCCAAACATCAAACTGTTTCTCTGCTGGTTCTGGTTCTACAGGCGAAACAGACTTAAAGTTTCGTCACGATATTTAGCAGAACGATCATAAAAACGATAAAAATGACAATAAAAACTATTTATTACATCTCATTTAGGAGATCACAGCCCTCATTAGGGCACCAGACTCATGAAGTGCGATTTGTATGCAAAGTATCTGCATTACATCTTATTTTCAAATTAATTAATACTTACTGACACTTTTATTGATCAAACTGTAAAGAAAATAAAACTAAAACGGTTTTGAGGAGTTTTAACCCCTTAAGGGTCAGGCCACCGGTGTCCTCATCTGTTTTGAGGGTTAAATGTTATTAACTGCAGTTTACCGTGAAAATGATGATTCACAATTATCATACTAGCTTTTTATTGTAATTAATCACGATAAATGATAAACGATATGATAAATCCTCAGCATTACTACAGAACTGAGACATTTAACCAAATATTAGAGGAAGTGTATGAATATATTTGAGCCAGCTAACCCAAAAAGATTTGTTTCCGTTTTTAAAAACGGTTGAAGGTTTTGACATCCTGATGATCCGGAGAGACGACCAGTTTTACAATAATGTTTTTATCTGAATCATTTTAATTGTTTTTAGTGCAGCACGACCTTTTGCCAATGCTTTCATAATGGTTATTATGGATTATTAATTAATCCTTAAAATAAATCCACTTATTATATTTCTATATTAATTTATTATAAATCAAAAAAAGCAATGATGCTAAATATGTAATAAATAAATTCATCTCTCTCTGTTTTTATAACAGATTTTAGTTTATTTGTACAAATATCCATTAAAGACACAGGAAATAAAACAAGCAGTTTATTTATAAAATACAGCAGATCCAGAAATACACATAAAAAACAGTTTATATAAAACTTAAAATGTTTATAAAAACTATTATTTAACTACAAATTACTCTTTATGAAAGGAGAAAATACTTTGAACAATATCTGCATTTGTTGGAGAGGTTTAAAAGAAATTACAGTTTTTTTATTTTATTTAATATGAAAGAAAAATTAAAAAGTTGAACATATTTCACATATATTGACTGTAAATTAAAAAAAGCTTTGAACGGAGCAGGAATCATTTCAACGAAGTCCGTCACAGATTATCGTCCCACTGCAAACAAACAGGACAGAAAACAAAATGACCAAACAAACGAGACCAATAAGCAACTTAAATTCCTAAATATATTCCATAATAATAACTGCTATTATTAATCACACTATTAGTCACTAAACTGATGGAAAAATCATCATTTGGACTTCAGGAAGAACAAAACACACAAACTGATATAAACCTAAAACAGTAAAAAATTAGATTCAAGTTTAAAATTACAGCAAGCACCAAATAGTAGTCTATTTATTTACTACTACTAATAAAATACAATTAACAATAACACCTAAATATACAATTAAAATGAAAAACAAAATCAGAAAAAATAGAATAAAAAATAAATAAATGAAAAGGAATTACTTAAATGTACAAATTACATAATTAAATAAAATAAACAAGGAAAATAAAAAAAAATTAAAATACGTATAATTCCAGTCATTCAAAATCAAATTTAAATATTTTGGATGAAGATGAAACATTTTTAGATTCAAAAATTAAAAACGGAAAGAAAAACTAAAGAAATAGAAAAGAGAATACTAAGATTAAGAAACAAAAAGAATAATAATATTACTACAACTAGTAATAATAATACCTGATTAATAATAATAATAATAATAATAATAATAATAATAATAATAATAATAATAATAATAATAATAATAATAATAATAAACAAAAGGTCTGTTTACCTGTCAGTTCCTCGCTCTGTTCGACAGGTGGCGCTCTGGTTACAGCATCAAACCCGCCGCCTCCAGTCTGCGCGCGCACGCCTCTGTGGGTGAGCGCGAGCTCGCCGCCGGCTCGGTGATTGCTACGAGCTCAGCGCGGCGGCGCGCTCAGCTGTTCGCCCCTCCCCCCTCCTCTTCCTGTCCGTAAAACGCGCACGCGGGCGCACAGTGAGCGCGCGCGCTCCGTGTTTGCCCACATGAGCCCAAACTGTTTTTGTCGCTGAGAAAACAAAGTCTGATCGCGCCGCCCGCCTGCGCGCAGCCCAAACAGGCACCGAGGCGCGCTTTTACGCACAGCCTCAGATCTGGATTTTACGCACACGGAGCGCGGAGCTGCTACACCTGTGCGTAAACAGCGCCGCGGGGGGCGGGGTGAGGGGACAGATCAGAGGGCGCAGGTTGATGATCAGAGCCTGGAGCCGCTGCGGGAGTCGGTGGAGGTCTGCGGTGTGAGCGCGGGGCAGGAAGGAGCAGAAAGAGGATTTTTGGAGAAGCTCCTCCTCTCCGTGATGTCGAAACCTCCTTAATTACTAATTTCTCCACATCGAAGCCACGCTCTTTCCCTCCCCCTCTTTTTCTTTCTCTTTTCTCTCTCTCCACTCCTCCATCCATGCATCTCTCATCCTGACCCTCCTTTCTCTCTCCTCTCCTCTCTGTCTCTCTCTGGTTTCCAGGATAACGGAGGTGGACCAGCCTGGAGGAGCCGCTTTTTTATTATAATTATTATTTATTCCCGCTTTTTGTTTGGGCTTTTTTGTTTGTTTGTTTGTGTTTTCTTTCCTGCCACCGGGCATGGAGGACGTAAAAACCCCGCCGACCGTCCACCGGTCCTCCTCCTTCAGCATCAAGAGCCTCCTGCTGCCCTCGAAGTGCGAGCGCCCGGACCCGGTGGCCGCCGCGATGGTCGGCATCCCCGGAACTCTGTCTCCATCACCGGGCTCCGACTCAGACAAGTCGCTGGGCCCCCCGGAGCTGGACTCCGCGGTCGCGGGTCTGGAGCAAGGGAAGCCGGGCAGGGAGGAGCAGGGGGAGCATGAGGAGGAGGAGGACGGAGGAGGAGGAGGCGGAGGAGGGGAGGACTCCAAGCCGACGCCGACACCGGAGCAGAACTCCACCGGGAGCAACAACAGCGCGAAAAACGGGAAGTACGACAAGCCTCCGTTCAGCTACAACGCGCTGATCATGATGGCCATCCGGCAGAGCCCCGAGAAGCGGCTGACGCTCAACGGCATCTACGAGTTCATCATGAAGAACTTCCCCTACTACCGGGAGCACAAGCAGGGCTGGCAGAACTCCATCCGGCACAACCTCAGCCTCAATAAGTGCTTCGTCAAGGTGCCCCGGCACTACGACGACCCGGGCAAGGGTAACTACTGGATGCTGGACCCAAGCAGCGACGACGTCTTCATCGGCGGGACGACCGGGAAGCTCCGCCGGCGCTCCGCCACCTCTCGCGGGAAGCTGGCCATGAAGCGCGGGCTGCGCTTCGCTCCGCTCGGCTTGGAGCGGCCGAACAACCCGCTGTACTGGCAGATCTCCCCGTTCCTCTCCCTGCACCACCACCACCACCACCACCCGCACTACAACGGATCCTCGCCCGGCTTTCTGAACCAGGCGGCGGGTTACGGGTCGCTCCTGCCCGCCGTGGAGCAGCTGAGTAACGGGGACCTGGGGCGCTCCATGGCGCTAGGCTTGACGAACACTTACGGGACGAGCATGTCGCCGGTGGGGCTGCTGTCCGGACAGACCGCCGGGTACTTTGTCTCAGGGAGCCAACACGCCCCGGGGCCGCCGGGAGGAGGGCCCCCGCCGCAACCGCCACCCCCGCCGCCGCAGCATCTCCCGCAGGGCGCCGCAGGCTTCGGCGGCCTGGGCTCCAGCGGCTCCCCGCAGTCGCTGCTGTCGGACTCCCTCAGAAACAGCTCCTTACCGGCCTTCTCCCCCGGCGTGTCGGCGGGGTTCTCCGGGGTGCTGTCCCACCAGAAGAGGGTGACCCCCAACGCCTTCCTGAACTGACCCCCCCCTCCTCACCCCTTCGGACTCTCAGCGGAACAAAAGACGTCTGTAAAGGGCAGAAAATACGCGGTAAATATCAGACAATGAGCAGATTTATAGAAATATATTAATGAAACTTTTTGGCCATATTCTGGTTTATTTCGATTATTTTCCAGAGGGAAAAAAGGGACAAACTTTTGTTACCCGCGGGTGTAAAACTGTAAACTAGACTTGCCAAAGGTAACAAACACTAGAAGAATATTTCAAACTATTTATATCTTGTACAAAGATTTTCAGTACTTTTCTTTGAGTCGTTTATTATTTATGTTTTGTATTTATTGTACAATGTATTTAAATTTTATTCTGTGTATTTACTCATCAGTATTAATGAAAACGGGTGGGGGCTGGGATTATTATTATTTATGAATTTTGGAGACAATCAGAACTTTTTCTGTTTATTTGAGTGGAAAAGGCGTTTGAATAAGTTAATAATTAATATAAGCCTTAAAGTTGTGAAAACAATCAGGGGTTTTAGAGGAAAAATAAGCCTAAAAATCATATCTGCACTCAGGTTTGACCCCAGACCGGCCTAAGGACGATCAGAACAGGAGAGTTTCCTTCCAGAATGAAAATATCCAAACTAAAAGTTTTTATTTCTGTGAAACAGAACAACAACAACAACAACAACAATAATAATGATAAATAATCTCTGCTGCTGCTTAAAATCCGAATATTTGACCCGGATATCATAGTTTTGGAACCGAACTCTTCATTTTAAAGTATGCAAAGCAAATCCACGTGTTTTAGAGACTTATAGAGTTTGGTGTGTGTGTAAGTGTGTGTGAAGGCCTGTAGGAGCCCAACCCCCTCTCTGCGCATGTGCGTAAAAAGGCCCGCAGCTCGTAGTATTTGGTGCGCAGCGGCTCCCCCCTGATGGCGCTCCTCCAACCCGCTGCGCTCAAGCAGTTTCCCGCTGAACGAGTCGCGCTGACCGCGGAGGCCTCGCATCGATCCAGCGGCTCCAATTAACCAATTATTAGAAAATTAAAATAAATTCAAACCTCACACACAAACCGGTTCCGTTAAAACTCGTTTTTATTCATTTTTAAAGCTTTTTGCGCAAAGAACAATCAGAATAAATCCTGACAATCAGCCGAACCTTTTTGGGTTTCATTCCGCTGCAAACTGAAAATATGCAACTTTTTCTGATGTTTTTATAATTTTTCTGACTCTCAGATGCAGAACTTTATTTACAAACGCAAACTTTTCTGAGAAGAAAACTTTGCCCGACGTGTTTCATATAAATAAAAAATAAATTCCAGATTTTCTAAATTATTTTAAATGTTTTATTACAAATTAATTATGTAGCTCATTTAAGGCCCTCAATATTCTTACAAAACTAAAAATGATTTTGAGACGTCACAAAATTGGAAATTAGATTTTTTTTCTTCCTGAAACTGATTTTAAATTATTAAAAAAATAATAAATTAATTTTAAATTTTTTTAGAAAGATAGAAATTCTCAACAAAATTATAAATCAGGTTTTATTTTGAGATTTTTTTTAAACCCACTTAAGAAAAAAAAACTGCAACATTCGTTTAAAAAAATGCAGGATTTTTTTTTTCTATGAGGCAAAATATTAATATTCTCATTGGTTTTGCTGCAAAGGAAAAATAAAGGAAATGTCTCATTTTCTATGCAAATGTCCCAATAATCAGCATTGATCAGTTTGTTTATTGATCCACTGATCTCAGGTCAGTTAAAAGCTGCAAAAATGTAGAAATTTCACCAAAATGTTCATTTAAAGTTTCAGAAGCTTCTGGTTATTTTAATCACAGGAAGAAGAAAATGTTTGTTTGTTTAAACCCTGCAGGAGTTTTAGCCGCCATGTTGAACATTCGGCCTGCTCCTGAAGCAGTTCTGGTTTTGGTTCTGGTTTCTGTCGGTTCTGGAGAGTTGCTGGTCAGATTCCTGCCTCACGTCTCCAGATCCTCCCTGCTAAAAGCACAAACCGTCCAGCAGGTTTGACTGAGGATCCTGGACACATTTTCTCTTCGTGTCACTTTGTTTTCTCATATTTTGGGTTTGTAAAAGAAAAATGTTTTGCAGATTTATTTGTTTTTATTTTACTTTCTTTCATTTTTTTTGCACTTTTGTAGTTAGCGTTCACCTGTATGAAGTCTGTACCGTCTGTTTCGTTGCCGTTTGTCTGTCTGTTTTTTCCAGAGAAACTAAAAACTGATTAAAAAGAATAAAATAACCTGACGGCGATCAGACTGTCATTTCAGCCAATAGTCTTTACTTCCAACAAAAACTGATTTAGATTTTTAACTGTTTGCATATAAAGATGCTCCTTCGTTTTATTTTACCTTTTAAATACATGCAGTTTATAACTGTTTTCCTTCCACAAAACTTTAATCATATTTAGTTTTATTTAACTGCCAAGAAACGACCAATAATATTTATATTTATATATAAACTTGAATAAAATCAAGGATTTTATTTTTTCATGTAAATGTTTTCATCATTCCCCATCAAATTGATTAACTTTATTAATAAATATGTTATATATTGAAATTTCCCCTCAGGGACAAATAAAGTTATTTGAATTACATTGAATTTATATTTTTAAAATAAATATTTTTTATGTAAATATTTTAGGAGGAGATGAATAACCACCACTAAAGAATAAAAATAAAATCCTGAGTTACTTTTTCTGTTTTTCCAACACTGAACATGTTTTTATTTGGTCTTTTCTTTGTTTTTATTGTCTTAATGTTTTTTTAACAACTCCAGTGTTTTTATACTATTATTATTATTATTATTATTATTATTATTATTATTACAGCCTCTTTAATGTAACACGTTTAGATTTTTTCCTGTTTCAGGCAAATGTTTGTGCTTTAAAAAGAATGTTTGACCTTTAAGAAATCTGGAAATAATGAATATTTAATATGTTTTGTTGAATAATTCTTGCAGCATGGAGCTCATTCTCAGTTTATCAGGCTAAAGTTTATTTTTTATTCAAAGTCAGTTGAATTTCCTGTTATTCTTCATGTCATCAGTTTGGTTTTTATTTCAGAACAGACTCGGTTCGGCTCCTCAGAGTTCGATTGGGACGTTTAAAGGTTAAAATCGAGTTTCTTGATTTTCCTCAAGCTGTCGTCCCGTTTCAGGAGCACAAAGCCAACAATCGAGCATTCAGTCAGTTTCCAAACAGTTTGAGCTTCTTGGACTCAGCGAAGCGTGCAGAGTCACATGATCCATCTGTGTGTGTGTGTGTGTGTGTGTGTGTGTGTGTGTTTGCTCCCCAGCGTTCAGCTGGACTGACCTAGAAACAGGGCAGCACTGCAGCAGGATTAGAAATAAAACACTGAATTTTTTTAAAGTGACAGTTTTTCATCTGTTTCTGACAGAAATTGTAATAATTTTTGCACCGATGTGATTGTTTACTTCAGTGGCTGCAGGCCACGATTACCTCCACTCTGCAGCCGTCTGCAAACACGGCCAGGATCATTCAGGACAATTATTTACATTTTATTACAGTACATAAATAGATTTGCAACTTCATTGAAATTACAAACATTTTTTTAATCCCAGAGACAAAATAGATGTTAGCAATCAAATAAATAAACAAAGTAAAAGATAAAAAAAAAAAAAAAACAGCTCAGTACATGAAAGGCTGAAGTTAAAGATGATCAATAATAATAATGGTAATAATACTGATTTAAACTGTTTGAGCTAATTTCTGCTTGAAAGAACATTTTTAGTTCTTTAGAAAAAGAAACGCCTGATATTATTGGTGTGATTTAAAAAAAATAGAAATAAAACAAACACTCATCATTTATTGTTGGATAAAGTTATTATTTCACCAGTCCAACTATGAAAACAACATATTAGTTTGGATAATGCCCCCCATTAGATGGGGGCCATAATCTGAGATGCACCATCAGGTTTCTGCCCAGGGCCGCTTCAAGGATTTCCAGGGCCGCTTCAAGGATTTCCTGGGCCGCTCCAAACATTTCCAGGACCGCTCCAAGCATTTCCAGGGCTGCTTCAAGGATTTCCAGGGCCGCTTCAAGGATTTCCTGGGCCGCTCCAAGCATTTCCAGGACCGCTCCAAGCATTTCCAGGGCTGCTCCAAGCATTTCCAGGGCCACTCCAAAGTTTAATTTGGGGGCCGTTTCTATTTGAGCTCCTCCCCCTGCCGTCATCTTTAACGTGTTTTTATCAAACATGTTTGCTAGTTTATGTGCTGCTAACAAGCTGTGATCCTCATAAATGTGACCTTTAAGCCAAAATGATGAAAACCACAGAAATCATCTCCTCCATTAAAGATCTACCAGCAGGAGGTTCTGATTCAGTTTAAACAGCTTTGGTTTGAGATGCATCAAATCATCATCCTGTCATTAATTCAGTCACAATTTAACGACTGGTGGAAAAATTTAAATATTTTAAGTTAAATAATTTTAAAGTAAAGTTGAAGAGCAGCTTGTAGTTTTTAATCTGTCCTGGTTTTTCAGACATCAGATTGTAGCAAAGTGTTATTCTAGCCATGGAACCTCTTTAGAAATGTGGACCATGGATGCTGATGTTAGCATTAGCGGCTACATGTTTAGCATTTAGATGCTGTTTTAGCCTTGAATAGCTTTGGTTACAGGCTAACTCCTATTAGCACAACTTGAACACAATAATAGTCTTTTCCAGCGTCGCATCAGATCCGTTTATGAAGCAGAAATTAACCTTCAGTGGACCGAGAGAAGCAGCTTAGTCGTCTTTAGCTGTTAGCGGATGTAGCTTGTGCATCAGATTTACAAGCATACCAGAAAAACAAGAATAAAAATGTTCCAGTTCTGAATTTTATGTTTAAAAAAAAAAATCTAAATGTGCAAAAATCCATGTAGTTAAAATAAAAATGTTACAGTAAGAAAAGAACTGATAGTTAGCTTTGCCACAGTTTATGTTACAGAACATTTTGAGGTGTTTTGTTAACGGACCAATCAGATGACGGGGTTGCAGTCAGCCCACCTGGTGATGTGGCCATAAGGGGTACTGCGTGTGAAGTTGAGGTTAGCTTTTAGTATTAGCATTGGTTTTATAGACAGCATGGTGAGGTCAGCAGGGCCAGCGGCCCCCCAGCCCCACCTCTGGATCCACTCTTGGTGTTTCATATCACAGCTGAGCAGCACAAAGTGATTACTGCTGTGCTGAAGCTGCTTGCATCAAATTATGAATTTAGAAGTTCTTAAGATGTAAAAGCTTAATTTTACGGGACCAATTAGAGGCTGTTGAAGCAGAGATATGAGCCTGTATGTATAATTATGAGCTTGTGAAAACTTGTTCACCTGATTGTGACGTTTTGTGGTTCAGATTTTTGCAGAAAACAAAAAGAATCAGTCCAGATTAATGAATCCAGCGGGGATAACGGAGGTGAATCTTTGTTCAAACTGCGTTTCCTTTGGCCTGCTGCCTCGGGATTCCCTGGAAGGATCCGGAGAAGGTTCTGGATCCGGTCCAAACACAGATGTTTTAGTTATTTCTTTCTAAAATTATGCAGGAAATGTTTAATGTTGCTGAATTTGGCCCTCATTTTGGTGCCAAAACATGTAAATATAATTATTTCATAAGATCATGAAAAAAAGGGCAAATAAAGAGCCGGTTGTTGACAGAAGCATGAATTCGCTGCTGGACTGAAGCTCACTAATTAAGATGCCGTACTGCATCTCCAGCAGACATCATGGCCGCCGCCCCGTTCCCAGTCTGAAGCCAACTGGCCGCCAGTG